TAGCATGCAATCACACTTGGAAAGGTTTGCAAAAGTGAGATGACCACTCATTGACCAACACACGGGACTGAATTTGCATCTGTTTACGGGTTCTCAGTGTGTGTATCCTCGCGCTTGACTGAAGATCTGCAATTCCGCTATCAGTATCATGTCAGATTAATTTAGTCTTATCAAAAGGTCAGAGATTAGAAAAAGCCTGATCAGAGTAGAGAAGCAGATCAACCTGTTGAGGGAATTCACAGAAATTTCAGTCAGTTACCTACATCATCATTATAAAGACAAGAGTTTTAAGTTACTCACCGCCTGGGAAACGCGAAGTTTCCACTGATCGTCATTTGCTCGTAATTTCTCTTCCAATTGTGCTCGTTTGGCAATTTCTTGTTCTAATTGAGTACGCAAAGTGTTGCGTTGTACAGTCATCTGATCATACTGTAGAAGAAAAAAGCAGAGGGGGATCAAACTCGCACTTGCGCTCTGGCCGAACGAGCAGTTTAGAAATATAATTAGAAAATCGGCTTGATTTTGGCAATCTGCTCCCGTGTTCAAGCAATATAGGGCCACCCTCCTTTTACAGCTACTTTTTGAAGTTTTACTGATGGAATATTCACTGTAATAATACATAATCATAAGAAGATAAACGCTGGTATTCGAACGTGGGATTGCATACGGAATATAGATATTTTGTTGCCAAGGGATTGGGTAGAAATGTGCGTGATCGGAGAGCGCACAAACATGTCCAGTAATTTATCGATGGGATTGTATTACATAGCTGCACCTAGAACTTGCTAACGGAATTATACTATTTCCTCACAGACCGGGTGAGTCCCAAATCCTTTGAGTTTTAAGTTCAAGACTCCCCGATAAACAGCCTGTTTTTACCCCAGTTGATTTACTTCAGTGTCTTCTTCAAACATAACCTGAATTATTACAAACCACCGCTGTTTTGAAACTGGTCTTTCTCTGAATCCCTCGATTTGTATCGGTTTTATGAATATAGTTCATTCATTTAAGGATCAGTGAATTTCCGTCATGTACCAGTGGCACACCTTGAAAGGAAACACAGCTTAGCCAAAAACGGAGATACAACCCCGGAGTTGGCCTTCGATGTGACAAAATTATCTCTCGTATTCACGTCCGGACCGATCCTGTGTTCGTAACTCAAAGACAAGAATCCGGCTTCTGCAATCTCATTTTGTGTGTCTGTTTGTATACCTGTTTAAGTGTTCCTGTGGAACAACCTATATCGGTCGCACGAGCAGGCACCTATCTACATGTGTTCGGGAACACCATCCGACCAGATTGGATACCGATGTATTTAAAAACATTACAAGTGCCATCGTTTCACACTTCGTCGGATCGGTTCACACGGTGAGGGTGAGGGAAGCCTTTTGTCCTCTCTACCGTATTCGAGGTCACCAATCTAAGCCGACTAAAAATCGCATCCGCGGAAGCGGTCGGAATTCGTCTACATATCACCCCTTGTGCACCACAAAACAGTTTCCAAATCACTCAACCTCACACGGCCCTCCGTCTCCTCCCACCGTAAATCCGACTAAGCGTAATAAACAAAATCTGAGAGCCGGATCAATCACATCAAGCTTGTGGAAAGGAATCAAATAACAAAATATTCCCATTCAAATAATCATTGTGTTTCCTTTTTTCTATACAAAAATGCCGTTGGTTAGAGACGCTGAGAGATATGGCCCAGAATAGAAGTCAGTGGCGCGAATGCTATACGGTCTGCCTGTCGAAATCCCGTGCCCCGTAAAAACAACAAACATCACAAAAAATACCAAAAGGTATACAATGAAATACAAAAATAAATTGTTATTCCGTTTATTCGTAATCCTTCATCCTAACAGTTACGTCTTTTCCCCTATACTCTGTATCCCAACCCCCTCCCCCCGCGTTGTTGTTATTTTTAATATTGTTGTGGCGTTGGCACCATGCTTGTTCTTAAACCGGTGTTATTTATATATATATATATATATACAAAATGACGCCGTATAAAATGTGGTGTATTAGCCTATTGATGAGTCACCGAAAACAAGCTTGTTTGATAAACTATTTTCATTTATTGTGTGTCGCTGGTATATTCCTTGAAGTAAAACAAGCGAAGGATCGGTGAATAATTTGTATAAGCTATCGCATTATGAAATAAAAGATTCACATCTTATCCGTACACAGTTCCTAATTAAACTAGCCGACGGACTAATCAACTCAGAAACAGCTAAGAATAACGAGAACTTTGAAACGTAGGATTTGAGGAGCTTCTGTGCTTCAAATGCGAAGTATGCCTTCCGCAAACTGTGAGATTTTTCCTGCAAACTAAGAATTGCAATAATTTATTTGATATTTCTCACAGGCTCTGCTCTTCTCAGTAACGTAAAGGTGACTTAATAAACATATAACTGAACCGGTCCTGTCATGACCGTGACCGGTTTCTAAGCTTGCTCTATTCATTATATACTCGGTACTATTTACTAGTCTCCCTCATCCAAGCTTATCCAATTCTCGTTTATCACATAACACGGATGACAGAGTACAGATTAATTATGGTCATCTTATCCTTGCATTATCACTATAAATATTGGTTACACCTGTTTGCTTGTCCAGCTGGTCTTGATCAGTTCGAAATTGTACATTTTTCAGCGTGAAAATTTGCATTTTCAGTGCAACCATCATCCGTTTAAATTTCCAATCTGTTTCTCGTCGTTAGGTCAACACTTCTGACGTCTGCGTTGACTTGGATTGGGTTCAGTCAAACAACACCCGGTCGAGATTTCCCACTGTTTTTACGGTTTCACGTTTTCCCCCGATTGTTACATCCTTCCGCGGGCTGTGGACCTGTCTCGCTAATCATCCTGCTATCCTGGTTGTCCGACCTCTAGTGGTTATTAGTCATTCCATAAACTACACATGCAACCCAGGTAGCTTGATTATTGAACTGTGTTCCTCGTGTACATCAAGTGTTTCACTGAGGAAATACCTTTTGTACAGTTGTATCAAAACATCCATTTTTGATCCCAAATTTCGCTTTACCCGTGACCGAACTACCCATTTAGAGGCTACGGTTACCGGTGAGCATTTGATATTCGGCTGAAAGCAGTTTGACTGTGAACTGGAAGCCATTAACGATGATTACAATAGCATGAGATAGAAGTGGCTTGGAAACTTATCCTTGTACAAACTAATTCACAATTTCCAGATTTGCATAATGTTACAATAGCTTGTTCCAAACGTTTTGACTTTCTCTTTCTATTCAGATCTTTTCTGATCGATGAAAATTTCTGTACATGCATTGAGAAATTATAAGCAAGGTGTATCGAGATAATCGGATGGGTGATTTGATTAGAAGCACTAAAGCTCCTGACTTTACTAAACTATCATTACTATATTCCTATCGGTTGGAGATTGTTCAAACATAACCCAATGCTTCTGACAAAATTCGTTAGAAATACTATACGAGTGCCCTTTAATGTTCAGTATAGGTTATCAGGCGGTGGTGGTCAGTCGGCAAAGATCACCAGCGTATCGTTCCCGGAGGACTTGTGTTCGAATCCCACGACTAAAAGTCCACCTGAGTCCCCATTTTCTATGTGTACACAGCAGCCATCGGATTGGCCGCTTACTCCTTTCAGGAAATCATATCTCCGTGTATTCAAGGTGAACGTGAGAGATCTCAACCCACTTCAAGTTCTTACCCCAGTATTCTAATCTTACTTAAACTCATACAATAACAGAACTAAATAGATGGCTGTCCGGCTTGTTAGATGAAGTGATCTGGACAACAAATGAAAGGAATATTGAACTAAATGTTTGCCATATGCTGATTACCTGAATTTGTGTTTCTTCCAGAGATTTCTGTGTTTGTTCTTGCAACGTCTTTGCCTCCTGATATTGCTTACGAACCCGATCCAATTCCTGGTTGACTGCTGTTGTTGATGCTCCGTAGACAGACTTCGGGGATAGAAAAGATGGTGGGAGTGAGAGAGCAGCGTGTGAACCTAACCAAAGTGAAATAATTCGTGAAAGTTGTCCTTTGCTACTCAGAGGTTTACTATTCATCAGGCTCAAATTAATCCCCAACTTCGTATCTATAGTGACAGTCCATAAGACACAAGCCATTAACACTTCCTGGTGTTAATAATGATTCAAAGTCAGTCATAGAGAAAGAAGAAAACTTATCGGCTCATAACATTATTTCGGTGTGCACAAAAATAAACGCTTAAGTTGGCACGTCAAAAGTGGTGAAAGAATTTTCAGGCAGTCGAAAGTTGTCAGGAGGGAGGAGAAAGATACAATGCAAAGTTTGTTTGACGCAAACGGAATGTGAACAATAACTTTGCATACCACTGCATCATGCCATATGCTACTCGGTATTCATCACTCAATGCAAATTCCACAGTAGTTAGACACCAGATGCATGCCAGAGATTCGAGGTTCGGTCCCAGGTCTCATGAACCTGTATGGCTGATGAGCTCGCATATCGGTGCTTCCAGAGTGCACGATTGACTATATTAACGGAATATTTTACATGAAGTCAGGATTTAGTGCATTATGAATGAAAAGGATTGCGGGTTTTGGCTAAAGAAGTAGGAACTGAGGTCTAAGAATTGTGGGTCTTGGTTAAAGCTTGATGAGAAAGATGTAGGTTGCCATTGACGAGAGCCCTGTCAACGGACCAATAGCCAAACATGAGTAAAAATTACGTTTATAAGACTAGTTTTGGTAAATTGATTATTGTGCAATCAAATACACCGTATCATTTCAGGTTTTTTGGCTTTTGCCCAGAAGCCAATTTTTTTACATTTATCTTATGTGCAATCGGGCACCAAAAAAGCTCAAGATCGGACTTATACAATTTTTGCCTAACACACTCGATTTCAACGTGACTGTGAGGCTGCTTACTGTGTGTGCTCCACGGAGAAAAGATAATCACATACGGTTTCATTTTGGGTATCTTAAGTATGCAGTGACAAACTGCACGTCCAAAGTGTACATCTCAAACTTGTTAGACTCGATACATATGAAGTTCAATAAAAATTGAGAAGAAAAGACGAACTATTGATCTGTGCGCAATTTATTTAGTGCATATTACTTGACATATCTGCTCTTAAATAAACACAATTAACACTGAACTGTAGAGGTGGTATACTTTAATATTTCACAGCTGACGTCTATAATATCACACTGCTGATTTTTCCCAAATTATATAATGTTTTCCCTTTTTTGACCACGTTCTAGGAAATCCCCGATTGTTTATCAATTGGTAGCTGATGAACTCTCTACGGATAGCACTGTTGAGTGCTACCGAGTGCGTCTTCAGGTCACGGATAGGAGAACGGCCTCCTTGGTGGTTAACCATGAATAAGTGGGGGCTGCCTCACCGAATAGTTGGTTGCGGACGATCATCAGTGATGCTAGAGGATGCGGTGGGGTTTTCAGCTGGCAATCGATATCCCTTTTAAAAGTCATAAGTGTCTTCCGACAGCATCGCAACGTGCGCGAATGAAAGCCATTGCCACTTGCCTACTCATCCAATTAGGAAAAACTTTGAGGAATGTTTCCAACCCTCAGACCTTACGGACATATTATGATCCTGGACTGGCGCTGAGCCATCCAAAAAGCACATGAACCGTTCTAGCCTAACCTGTTACCCTGCAGGTCACACTTGGTTGGACAAGGGTTAGAAATGAACCCTCGAACAAAAACCGAGCGATGCTGGGGACATCATCTAGTACCTCATTCACAAGTTTCTTCATGGATAGTCTTACAATGGTACATCGTGTTCATGCTAGAGCCTTCCCGAGAAGCGACCCGCCATAAGTTCTCCCAGTGGCTGGGGTGACAAATGAGCAAGCTGGGAGCCTGAACCAGCGGCCACTTCCGAAGCACTAATGATGTCACTTCGGCTGGTGATGAAACGTTTGCAAACAAATTGCCAAGCTCGGAGAACAGCCAAAGTAGGATTGCTACAAGTTCCAACAGTCTACCAAAGCATGCTTCATCGTATTCCGCGCTGCCTTTGACTCTGTTGATAGAGAATCCATGTGGTGCATAGTGCGATCCGACGGGATGCCTGAGAAGTCCATCAGGCTTTTAAACTCGTACTACTCAGGGACCTGGGTACGGATCCATACCTATGGAGAAGAATCAGCTGAGTTTACCCTAAGCTCTGGAGTCAGAAAAAGTTGTCCCCTAACGCCGGTGGTTATTCAACTACACCTTAGATTGGATAATGCGACAAACACTCATTGACTATCCCGGAGTGTAGCTTGGCCCAATTTCATGGATTGCTGACCTCGAGTTTGCAGATAATGTCGTTGCCCTTGGAGACACCGTGAACAGCCACCAGCCTGTTGTCAGTCGTATAAACCAGTTGCCCAGGCCATGGAACTAGAGATCAACACGTCGAAAACCAAGACATTTTAGACCGAAACTTCTGCCATGACAGAAACCCTTTTGATCAACGAGGAACTTGACGAATCGACTAAAGTTTTTAAATATCTTGGCTCTACAATAAGACCAAATGGACAAGCTAAGGATTAAATCTCATTCCGTGTAGATGGAGCTAGAAGAGCCTTCCTGCAACTCCTCAGACGGTTGTGGAATCGATAAGAAATAAGCCTAAACACTAAACTTGCGGTTTATCAGGCTTCCCTCTATCCCATCCTCACTTATTCTTGTGAAACATGGCCACTAAGAATAAAAGATACAAAGAAGCTCGAGGTGTTTGATCATTGGTATTTACGTCGCATATCGAAGGAAAATTGGAGAGATCGGATTTCCAATGATGAGGTTTGACGGCGCTACTTGAACATCGACAAGCTTTCGAAAATGCTACAATGCCGGCGCCTTCAGAGGTTTGGCCATGTGATCCGAAGGCCAGACACTCAGCTCTCGGGACAGAGAGAGCTCCCGCACCGTACCGTGGATGGCGTTGCCGACTAGATGGCCAACTGAAGACGGGGTGCAGTACGATTAAGGTGGACTTGGAATTACCGGGCCTCCAATCCGTATATGGAATTCGTAACTGGGACCAAAACTGGGTCTCACACTGCATCAACCTTGCTACCGATCGTAATGCATAGGCCGCCATTACCAGAGACATCCAAGAAGCCGACTTATCCTTCCGCAGGAATTAGTTGCTCAAAAGTAAAAAGTAAAAATAAGGAGGTAAGACCGTAATAACCTTCCATCAGCACACACAATTATGCATGTTTTACCTTTGTAAAATTCAATAATTCGTCTACAGCTAGAGGTGTAGTGAGTTTCCGGAAGAATTGTCTACTAAATCACGGACGCAGCTGCCGGATGAAGAAACCATTTTTGTACAAACAAATTGACGTTTTTTTAGATATACCGAATATTGAGAAGCAGGTGGGGATACACGTCGCATTCAAAACTGCAAAGACTGCCGTTTTAAGATTGCAAATCAAGGCAGTCTGGCACGAAACAGACAGTTATTGTTACGTTTATACTTCAGTTTGTCCAACTAACCTTATTATACTGCGCTCGCATCAGTTTCCCTGGCGTGCTCAACAGGGAATTCCGAGAGCCGCCTTGCCTTTTTATCCCTGTTTACACTACCACCAGACTGCTATCTCATCATTCCATTGAAATAAATGAAACGTTTGCGAACCACGTTTTCACTGGCATCACGCACTCGCATGATGATTTAATTGCATATCACTTGCATCATTCAATGTGATCCCAATACAGTCGAATTCACTTTTGTAAAAGACGTTTATCGGGATACTGTGGCACCATTTTTAGCTCCCGTTTTGATTATCAAGGTGGAAGTAGCCGGAGAGAGAGGGGGAGGTTGCATCCTAAAAATCTCAGTGCAGGAATAAAAATCTTTCACTCATTTCTTGTTGCTTTCTGTCCTCTTTTTGATTGTACCAGTCAGTAGTTTTAGCATTGTACATTTTGTGACTGACTTTAGACTATACGATTTACGAAGGTCTATACAGATGAGAAATTTTCTTTTATGGTCTGTTTCAGTCAGTTTTTGATGAGCTGTAAAAGATTTTTACCTGCATATGAAAGGTCAAAATAGGGGACCATTTTGTAACCCCTGGATTAGGTTTCAGTTTTCGTGCTTCCTTGGAATTTTCATGTATTGGTTGATTAATCGTCCAATATTTTAAGAAGAAACATTGATGCGAATTCGGAAGGGGATTTTTCCAGTACAAGAGAAGAAACCTTTACTTAGGTTTTTCTTTGGTTGAGGTATATTACTTGCGATTATTGACGATACGAATGATGGCAAGATAAAGAAAATCACCGATGAGTAAACACTCAACCAATGGTGTACATTTATTCTTTATAATATTTATCAGTTCTTTTTACGACCATAGAATACATAAATTGTGAGTGTGGTCCAATTCAAATACGCTTGATTTTATTTTAATTATTCTAGATAACGTCACGTTTCACACCTCGTGTAGACGACAAGAACACAAGAAACCTCCTTGATTTTCTTTGATTTCATTGTTTGGTGGTTCAATCATTTCATTTCTCCAATGCTCAAACCAAACTTATTCGGTCTTCAGTCTTCCTCCGAACATGAAGTGAATAAATATTTTCCAGTCCCTTTTAATGAAACTGTGTAGTTTCACCACCGCTACTTGTTGTGAATATTTTGCTTGGAGAGGGTGAGTGATTTGGTTGAATTCCTGTGGAAACGGATAGGAAACTGAAGTGAAAGGAATATGAAACCTTTCGTTCTAACAAATGAAATCCTGCGAAACAAGCACGATGATGGCGTTGTCAATTAACCGTTTCACCTCCTCTGTAAACGAAGAAAAACGGAGCAGCAACGTGGTGTTGAGCACAAGTGCCTTGGTTTGTCGAAGTATTTTAAAAGGTGATTTATAAAAGTCCATTTGAATTTTTTCAGCTGAATGCTAAACCAACAAATTTATCCCTGTTTGATTGATTACCATTTGACCTTGGGATTGTTTTATTAACACTTAACCAAAAGCTGATGTTGCTAAATTGTGAATGCCATTTATTTCATCTCATTTAGCAAACGATGAATGTACTGCCTTGTTTTTGAGAATGCGATCGATAAAAGGTAGTGTAGATTCTCGCCTTTTGCGAACACAAACACGACAAACATATCATACAAATTCATGAAAAGCCCACAGAAAATACACTATAAAATGATGTGCACTTTTGTTGAATTACTCAGACTGTATTAACAAATAATGAGCCTTTTAAACTATCTTCAGGTACCTTTTATAATGGACTAAATGTGTACTGAATCATCTGGAACATTTGTAAGATTCACAGTGAGTACGATTCATGATTTGGTCAAACACTTACATGATGAGTTCGGATAGGTGGTGACATTGCAGCTGCAGGTCCCACTGAACCAGGGCGATCTTGTCTATCGAGCAGGCGTTGTCGCAGACTGTCAACTTGACTTTCCAAATCTGTGTTCCCCTTGCGTAGGCCGTGAATTTCGTCCAGCAGATCATGCTGTGCATAATAAAACAAAAGACACTTTCAAAAGGCGCTTACAAATTTCCACAAATGAAAATGGCTGGATTCACCGTCGAATTTCTTTGTTTAGCGGTGAACGAACTATGCAGTTACTTTACTACCAGAAATAGTGAGCTTATTGTTTTCACTAGAATATACAAGTTATGTGTCAACCCAGTGGATGGCGTGAAATAAGCACAACGGTTGATGCAACAGAAATTTACTTCGGTTGAAGCTTGTGAAAAACTATAAACAAATTTTGTCTACTAACAATCTATAAGTAGACAAACACAAGTTACGCATTTTATCGAGGTTGATTGCTTTTCGCCATTCTTTGAACATCGTCAATTTGATTCGATACGGTCGATCGAGAAGCTGTTCTCTATTGACACAAAATCAACGGGATATATACCATCCTCTAATAGTCAGTGCGCTCAACACCATGTTGATACAGGGAAAATCTACTGTATTTGGTTCGATAAATTTTAGGTTCTTTGAGCTAAGCTGCCTAAAATCAATCAGTATTTATTATCATTAATAAATTTTACCTCCTTTTGTTGAATAAACAATTTTTAAAATAAATTTCATGAGTGAAGTAGTCCGTAGTCACTTAGGCAATTTCTGGGGACACAGGAAAATTAGGTCGGGCAGCGGTGTTGGGGTTCGAACATGAAACCTCCGGGTCGATTTGCAGGTCAGTTTCACCTCTTGGCCATCACTGCATGTGAAGCTTACCGACAGATCCGTAGTAATTGATTTGCCTTTTTTAAACATCTTACTAAACATTTATAAGTCCAACTATTATTAAGCAGTCAGTCGCTTAGCACTAAATGCAATTTTTTATATATCAGAAAACTATTTTGATCGGAAACAATGACCGATTTCGCTTCGGTCCCGTAATTACTCGAGTTTTGGACATTCACAAGCTCATCTAGGGCTTACTTTCCGCACAGCAGGTATTCCGGTCTTTGAAAAACTGAGAAAAACTGAACTCACGCGTGAATTTACCTAGGTAAAAAACAGCAGTAATTACAACTTAGGCACCTGAGGTGTTTTGTCTTAATGAAACAACCGTAACAGCATGACGTTTCTTTGCAGTGAATGTGTTCATCAAGATCGTGTACAATACTCACGGTAAGTTTTCAAGATGACCACTAGTGACACCAATTTTGTATGCAAAAACACAGAAATAAGAACCGTCAAATTTTTCATCACAATATTGCTAGATTTCCACTTTTCTGTTTCAGCATCCTCCCCTTCTTCCGATAATGCTTATATTTTTTGAGAACTAGGTTAGGTAACGGGCGCTAGGTGACCGTTTGTTGGAGCGTAGTCTGTTCACAGTAACGGACAGATCAATCCTGTGTGGCTTTTGTAATCAATGGGCCAGTTTGAAGCATATCTATGCATTCATAGCTGCACTGTCCAATGTAATATTTCGGCACATCCTATTGCTTGATGCATAAGTTCTGGTATGCTTTTTCAGAGTATCATTCAAAATGTCCTCTTCGTATTCATGTTTGTTCAAAAACAGCAACATGCAGAGCTTCCTCTTACCGACTGCCTGTGCAGTGGTGTTTCTGTGTTTGTTTGAAGTAACGCACGGATTTTACACCGATTTGTTTGCCTGCGTAATTCCATTATGATAACCTACCAAGCATTCATTCGTAAGTTCTCCAAAACAGACTAATAGGAGTTGCGCATACTGTACCTACACCTGTATCAATCACTGGTTATTCTGGGAGTGGCAAAAAGATAATCGGTAGTGCTATGGTATCATTCACCTAAGAGTTTTGTAGAGATGTCATGTGACTTAACACATCCGTTTTGACTGTTTTTCTCCCAGATTTTGTTTAAACTGTTGCTAAGACAATAAAAAATGTTACGTTCAAACAAAAATCTATTGAAACGCTCAAAGCATTCCAGTAGAAAAAAATCGCGAAATTCGATGTCATTTCGGATACCCTTGACTACGTTACACTTGTTTAACTATCACATGTCACTGAAATGGACAATTTAGCGGTACTTATGCCTAAATGGATTTCAGGAGAATAAGAGTAGAGAAGTATAATTCATTTGTGTGTGTGTGATGTGAAATAATCATTTTACAAGAACGTAGTTATCCAAAGGCGGAGTTTAAAACTTAGACATAATCGATCTGCTGTCACCCGACTAGACCCAGATGAGTGATCACAATGTGCGAAATTGACATCTACAGCTCTTAGTAACGGTTGGTACACAGAGAATCTGTTATGTAGACGATCCAGTAGAGGAAATAATCAATCCGTATTGAGGGCAGTGAAAAAGTGAGGCTAAGAAGGCAGTTAGAACTACACGTTGATCTGTATATGTGAAAGGGAATACAAATCAGTAATCACCACAACTATTTTTTCCGTAAAAACGTGAGGACAAAGGAGCCAAGTGGCATCTCGCTTCCTGCTGCCTTCAAAGCTCATCGACAGTTAAAAACACCGAATGATGTTACTGAGTAGCACTGGTGTCTGTCAACTCACATTCTACGCAGATCGAGTTCACTTGCTTTCTGTATCATTATTTTGGTAGGGCAGTTTACTTTAGCCCTTTTGATCTGCTCATTCCTAATCGGTCATTTGAGCGGGTAGTGGGAAGACAGAACCTAAAACCGCTGCATCACAATGTGAAGGTGGTAACAAAATGAAATTGAAAAAAATTGAATTGCAACATTTGATCATTCCTTTCGGTGATCAAATTAGACATCCTTCGCCCCGTTCTCCGATAGCGTTTAATCTATATCTGGACAAAATGGGATCGGAGGGAGTTATGAAAGAATCTGTTTGTCCCTTAAGCTGTGCAAAACTGACTGCAATTCTGGGCACTTTTCAAAAGATCTGCTCAAAAGGGTCAAATAGTGGGTGGAATTTGAGCAAGCCAGAGGGGAGAGGTAGTGCTTGGGTGTATGCCCCAATTTGTGATTGGAATAAAAAACAGCTTATGTGAAAATATGTGGATAAACACTACGTTCGAACAAGCTCGTCTGATAAGTTCGTATAGGGAGGTGAGAGTTCGCACTAATTCCGGGGAAAAGTTCACTTGGATTAGCTTGCTCTTGTGCGGAAGTCCCCCGCATCGCCTAGTAGTTTGATAGGTCTCACATGACATGACATGTCCTCAGATTTATGGTGAAAACTGATTGCCGGATGAGTTAAAGGCACGATAGTACAACAGATCGATAACAAAGTCAGAGAGATTAAACTGGTTTATGTGTGTGTGTGTGTGTGTGGGAGAGATGTTACTCTCAACTTTTACATAGCACGAACTTAGTAAATCAGTTCACAGCCAACCAACANAACAACAACAACAACAACAACAACAACAACAACAACAACAACAACAACAACAACAACAAACAAACAAACAAATTTGTTTCGCGACAGGGACTACTTCCAGCAATTTTCATTCGGTTACAATTTGAAATGGTTGTTAACTGAAAACACCGCAGGTCACTGAACTGTTCCTATTTACACAAGAATTTACTGTGAGACTAATCACAGACCATACTCAAAGTTCAAGAGGAGAAATTATTCCCTCCAGAGCTACGAAATTTAGTTTTTTTTTCTGTTGGGCCTTTTGTGTAATGTGTTTTTGATTGTGAAGATTATGCGAGATGTCTTAATGTTATTTTCTCTCTGATGAACAGGGTCACTCTATTGAAACTATCTGTATTCTACTCGACCGATTTTCACCGTTCATCGAGAAACGTCTTTGTTGTACAACAGATACAACGGTTACATATTCGGCAGGTGCAACAATGTGCAACAACTAAGTGGTTTAATTAAGATCAAAATAAAACTTATTACCTGGATAGCTGCATTGAGTAATGGTAACTGGTATAAGATGGATTCGGTGTTCAGTCAACTTTCTGGGGACATTTAAATCCGGGATACTTTGGCTGTTTTACCGATGCGTCTTGCTGATCTCTTTCTCCAATCAGTGGTTGAAATAACCCTGTTTCTGCCGTTACACTTCTCAAATTTGCGGCTGGATCTCAAGGCCAATAGAAACTCACGGTTTTGATTGTTTATCTTAGGACCTGTTCATTATTTGCAGTGAGCAGCATCAGAACTTGCTGAAATATTCAAATTGGTTTTCCGCTCCGGGGCAATTATTTTCACTGGTTACACTGATGACGCATTAAAACAACCGTTCTGAGTTGAGGAAACGTTTAGTTCTCGCATAGGGCTAAAAGCATCGGATTAATGGGTGCGTGAAGAGCGAAAACACTGAAAGCGCGCTGATTAGGATAAGCAATTCATCGGCCATCTACCGCAGAAAATAATCCATAGGGCAATCAGTCACATGCTCCAAAAGCAATCACTCACATTTTCACTTTCTAGCTTCTTCAGTCTGAGCTCACGTTCCTCCACTCGTTTCTGACTGATTGTCAACCGGTTTGTGTATTCCTCAATAGACGCCTGCAGTCGGGCAATCTCATCGGCTTGACAACGCTGAACGGAGATCACGTGATCCGGACGCGGGTATTGCGTGAGCAGTGCCAATAGAGTGTATGTGTTTTGCAGGGATTAATAGAGGGACGGAGGCGAGAATCGGAAATTAATGTGGGCCATCAGATTGAGGTAGCCAGACAGATAAACAGCAGGATAAATGATTCGACCATTAGAAAAGTGTGCAGATCAGATAACGCAAATAGTTACTGTCATTTTCATCCCCCCTACAAAAAAAACAGACAAACTGATCGATTTGTTGCTTTCACAGCAATATCTCCAAGTGCTTTCCATTTTTAGTCCTCGAGATGATCAAACGTAGTTTGCTATAAGATAAACTCATCTTCATATCTGATACTACTCATAACCATAATTATTTGAATTCTATTAACTTTAGTTAAATCAAATGAACAATCAATATCAACGCAGAAGATGACGACCAATCAAGGGCTGTTAATGCAAAGTGATGTTGACACACAAACACACAAATTGCGAGCTGATGATGAGATGATGATCTGTACGACCCGACGATGGCTACCTAAATTCTTTGTTCAACTATTAGACAGCTAAATTGCTTCTTAGTAAATGACATTTAAATCAGTAATGACTTTGGTTCAGAACAAAACAAATAGGCCTTATGACCCATAGGTTTAATGTTAAATCGAGTTGAGTGCAAGAAAGCCATTTACGATAAGTTCTGTTTATGAATCCTGTTTTTGAAGAGCCTGCGCGTATGCGAGACGGAAAACAGACAAGGGAAGCATAGGTTCAGCGCACCGAAGTTGGTAGACTGCCTTTACCTTCTACGTCGATCAACTGAATTACACGTGAAGTTTTGGAAATAGCACCGAGCAAAGTAGAGATCAGAGGATGATAAGGTACGGATAGCACCAGAAAAGCCGGAATATTTATACATCTAACACGGCACTAGGATTAACTGGTAGCATTTTCTGACAACGGCATTTCGTGCCGTCTATGGTGTTTCGAATACGTTTTCCTACCTTGTCAACTATCAAATGAAATACCAATAATGCTTGTTTCATAGAGTTTGCAGTGCAAAAAGGATCCCCTAAAACGTCCTGTGATAAGAATTACCATTCACGGACTGTTTTTCGGATCCGAATTCTGCAAATTCTTTTTTCTCCGGTAAACACTGGGTTCCATGGTATCTTTATTATGGGAAAATTGAACCGTATTCTCCTCTGATGACGACCAGTAGAAAATGCTACTGTACAGTTCTGAAGAATCTGCCGCGAAGCGGGAACAGTTGATTTGTAAGTTTACAACAGTAGACATTTCCGAATTGCCCACCATCTTTGTAAACCTAAGGCTTGTGAAGAAGCACCCGTTGTACGTTGCACCTCTTGAAGGCCAGTGGTGCAGTATTACACGCTACCATATCGTCTTCTACCAGGCACCTATATCTCAACTGGATCTCGTAAACTTCCAGACATGGTGTTACTTGTTACAAATACTTCAACCTGTTGCTGGTTGTGGCGTATTTTCCGAATTCCTTGGTATCCACACGATCAGACAGGTTTTGCTTCCCCTGCAAGTACTGCTCAATAAATTATTTGATGTTTACATACAAAATATCAAAAGTGGCTATTTTTCCTCAAGGGAATCTCAAAAATGGTCTCACACGTCCATCACACTTTGTTTGGTGATTAGGGCAAGCTAGTACTGGGGCAATACTGGTAGTACTTGCTAAAACATTCATAAAAATGGTTGCTCAATTGCCAAAGGTCTTCACACAAATGACGATCGGGATCCAGTAAGCAATACGTTTCGACCGTGTGAATCACTTTATAAAGTCACGTGAGCGCGAGCGTCTGACAAGGTCATAACAGACTGGCCGTTTCGACCGGTTTCTTTCAACTTCGAAAAGAATGAGAAAACGGCCAAGATCGAAATTGTCTGGCTCTGATTGGGATTAAGTGACATTGATGCATGTAGATCGATTACTGGTTGACCGAAATGAACCAACTTTCTACGAAATATCAGTTTACAGGAGAGTAATGGAGGATTTGATTCAACTTAAAAGAGGAAAATTCGTCGTGTATAGAGCAAATGAAGCGTGAACGGAAAAGCTAGGAAGCACTAGACAGATGTTTTCCCCTGGTTGGGTCTCATAAGCAGTGCGAATTCATTCACCCAACTGGTTATCGAATCCGGGACCTCACATGTAGAACGAAAGCATGCTACCCACCCAGCCACCCATTTCATAACATAACCGGATCAAAAACGCTGTACTCGCTTCCTAGTCTTTCAGTTCAAGCTTCAATTGTTCTATACACGACGAATTCCCTCTCTGAAATATCGTTTTAGGTCAACTGATGAAAAATAATGACTCAGAAGCTCACTCGAAAAAAGTTGTGCGCATTTGAACAAATAACAAGAGTAAAATAACCATTTGACTATTCTATAACGATAATGTGCACAATGACTGAATAGATTAGATACCGAACCAGATTCATGAAGTGTACGGGTATCTAAGAGCACATCGTTAAAGGTACTTCATTATGAAAGTGCTTTGGAGGGGGATAAGACAGCATACGACAGTGTCAGGGGAGCAGACAAGCGGAACACGAGTCAGCCAGAACATCAACTGACAAGGTAGGATGTAGTCACGTGCACTTTCGCACGGACACAAGCAAATGAAGTAAGCATAGAACCAGTCCAACAGAAATGAAGGTAGTAAGTATCATAGTCTAAGTGAAC